AATGGGATGGCAAGCCCCAGCCTGGCTGTCCCAGAAGAATAGGTACTCCTGTCATGATGATGTATTTGAAAAACTATTTGTGTGTTCATTTATGGCAGGATGCTACCCAATCAGGAAAGCCTGAGTTTCCATAAGAGTTTACCTTGTAAAAGGCCCCTAGCACACACAGTTTACAAGTTCAGAGCATGGTACAATCATTACCAGCAAAACTGTGGCACCCTGTTCAAACACATGACTCCCAGTGCCATAGGGAATGCTGCCAAGCTACAGTGTGAGGAAGGTTAACACACCACTGTTTACTTTTGCTGTTGGGTTCAAAAGCCTGTGAGCAGCTCGGAAACAGATACAGAATGTACCCCCACCATCCCATCAGCAGCTAGAAAACACCACACTTATTCAGCAGATACCCTTTTCAAACTGAAGGGGCGGGGGACCCAAATTCAGGGGCTGGAAAGGAGGGAAACCACTCAGAAGCTTTCAGAAGCTGCGGGGACTGACAGAGCGGGCAGAGCAGGGTCAGGCATCCCTGTGGAGCTCGGGGAGGGAAGAGGGCCAGGATGCCAAGTGCCGCTGCCCCGAAGGGCCCCTATCTCAGCCCAGCTCTGCGGGATGGGGCTCAGCCCGGACGGGCGCCCGCCAAGAGGCGCAAGGGGCACCTCGCCCTCCCGCTGCCTTCGCCGCCTCTTAGGTCCCCTTAGGCCGAGCGAAGGAAGCGCAGGAAGCGCAGGGATGCCAGCGGGGTGGAGACGGCTGGAGAAGGGACCACTGCCATCTTAATGACACAGCACCGCCTCGCCCCCCGCCCGCCGGGCCAGGCCGCGCGGTGAGGCCGGGGAGGTGGCTCAGACCCGGGCAGGGCGGGACCCCCGGCCCGCCCCCCGCCGCCGAGGGCGGGCCCGAGACGCGCCCGACCCCCCGCCCCCCGCTGGACTACAAGTCCAGGCGAGCGCAGCACGGAGGGTTCGGGCCGGGGGCGCTCCTTCTCCAGGGGCTGCCGGCAGGCCGGGCCCCTGCTGATCGGGGTGAGCGCCCTGCCCACGCACGCCCCGGCCCCCGAACTACAGCGCCCAGCGCGCCGCGGGCGGGCGGGGCGCGCCGCGGGGCACGCCGGGCGTAGTAGTCCACGAGGGCCCTGCGCGCCACCCGGGAACGGCCACCGCAGCCACCGGGGAACCACAAGTCCCATGAGGCCACGCGCGGGCGGCGCCCCGGCTGGTGGCGGGGTGGGAGCCGGCCGCGGCGGGAGCAGCCCGGGCGAGCGGGCGGGCCGGCGGCGGGGCGCGCTTACCGGCGTGTCGAAGGAGAAGGCGCACTCGTCCTTGTGGACGCGGTCGCCGGCCTTGGGCACCCGGATGGACGGCAACACCGACAGCAGCGCCTCGCTCAGCTCCGCCATGACAGCGGCTCACCGCGGCACCGCCCACAACCCCGCCCCCTCCCAATCGCAGACCGGCGCGGTCGGGCGGGTCCTAACCAATCGGCAGCGAGGCTGGAGGCCAGACTCGCCCTGCCGACCCGCCGGCTCGCCCAATCGCAACCGCCCTCCGGCCATGGTGGGAGGCGGTGCCGGGCTCCTCCACCAATAACGGCGTACCGAGGGCTGAGGGGGCGGGACAATCTCCGAAGATTGACAGCGGGGCGAGATGGGACGTGACGGGCGGGGACTGCGGAGTCGACGGGCTGGCGGGGCGGGGAGGTGGGCGTGGCGCAGCGAGCCCCGCCCCCTGGACAGCGACCAATGGGCAGCTGCCCCGCCCAGCGCGCGGGAGATTCGAAAGGCGCGTCCGGCGGGGCCGGGGCGCAGTGCGGCCGCTGCCGCCATGGGGGCCTCCGGCAGCGCCCCTGCTACCCCGGCCGCGCCCCGCAACAAGCACCTGGCTCAGGTCACCGACCCCCGCTCCCCCACCGCCGGCATCCTGCGCACCCCCATCGAGGTAGGCGCCCCTCCGCCGCCGCTTTCCCCTGCGTGGCTCCGGCCCGCCGCCCCCACGGCTGCCCTCTCCGCAGGTGGTGAGCTCCCCGGCTGGCAGCCCGCAGCCCAGCCCCGCCGAGACGCCGGCGGGCACCGGTCAGGAGCGGGACCCACGGTCGCCCACGCCCGGCATCTCCCGCACGCCCATGAGAGCCGTGTCGAGTGGTGAGTGAAGCGGCCGTGGGCGGGCTGGTTGGGGGCTGCCTGACTGGGAGGCTCACCCCGGCCCCCTCCGTCCCCGGCAGACAGCGTGGACCGCCTGGTGAAGCAGCTCAGCGAGGCCTTCGGGGCCGAGGCCGCGGCCCCCGAGCCGGCGCCTCCCGCAGCGGCGGGCCCCGCCGAGGAGCCGGCCCAGCGGAGCTCCCCGCCCGCGGGCCAAGGGGCGGAGAGGCCGCCCTCGCCCAGCGCAGCCCGGCCCGCCCGCCCGGCCGGACACGGCCTCTCCTCGGGTAAGTGCTCGGTGTGGGGGTGGCGGCGCTCCGTGTGCCCGGAGAGCTGCCGGGATGGGCCCTGAGCAGTCGGGGCTCTCGGCACCGCCTGGCTGGGGTGCCTTGTCCAGGCGTGCTCCCTGCCAGCGCCTGTCCCGCCCCCAGTTCGGCTGCGTCCCACCGCCCGCAGCCTCTGCGGCCCGGACACCCTCTGGGAAATGCTATCGAACAGATTTCTGTCCAGGCATGAGAAATTGGTTTTTAAACGATTTTCAAAATCTAGAGGTATACATCAACTTTTCCCCACTCTCAGATGGGTGTGTGACTGTGGAGACCTGTCCAGAGGGACCTTACAGGTTTTCATTGGGAAGAGCTGTGGAGCAAGGGTGGGCAGCACATCTCTGTGCTAAGGCTGAGCAGTGCTAAGAGACTTTGATACAGACTGTGTTTAAGACAGCTCTGTGCTGAGCACTGCTCCTCAGAGAAGTAGCTGAGAACTGTTCAGCCTGGAGAGGAAAACACTCAGGGGATATCTTGTTAATAGATACAAGTACCTGAAGGAAGGGAGAGCCAGGCTCTTTTCAGAGGTGCCCAATGATGGGACTAGAGCCCAAGGGAACGGAATGGTACACAGGAAACTCCTGAATATCAAGAAACACTTTTTTTTTTTCGCCATGAGGGTGATCAAGGAGTGGAGCAGGTTGCTCAGAGAGGTTGCAGAATCTCTCTGTTGAGATATTCAAGAGACACCTGGACATGGTCCTGGACAATGGGCTCTAGGTGACCCTGCTGGAGTAGGTCCTCTAGAGTTCGCTTCCAACATCAGCCTTTCTGTGATCCTTTTGCCTCAAAGCCCTTGGGTAAGTTTTTAATAAAGGCCATGAGGTGTTTAAGATCCAGGCCTTTTGAGCCTTGTTGTGATGTGCTGGTGTGTTTCCTTTTGTCAACTAGTGAGCAAGCCCTTGAGACACAAGCCCAGCAACAAATTCATGGCAACATCTGGAGGAACTGGCCGCTCTCCCCTCAGCATTCTACGAGATGATAATTCCCCCAGTGCTCCTGCCCCTCGCCAGGTAAAGCTTAATGGGCTGTGCTGAGGGAGGGAGATTGAGCTGAAAAAAAAAAAGCCAAATCCTTCAATTTCTGTATTTGTTAGGGTCCCAGTTGAGAATTGTGGCCTCCTAGACCTGTAGAGACTAGAAACTTCACAAATGTTTTTCTGTGGGTCAGTCTTGTCATTAAATGCCTCTGAGTCTTGTTCAGTGTCTGTCTTTGGCCTTACCGTGAAATTGTCAGTTTCAGTTCATTCTTTCTCTCTAGGCTGTAGAAAAAAGTCACTCTTGTACGTTGTCACAAGAGAGTCCAAGCTGAATGGCCTGAAAATAGGCTACATATTCTGCTGAGAATTAACTAACCTTTGGTCAACTTGTTTTTTATACTCTGTGTTTCGGTTTTTTATTTCTCTAGGGCAAGAGGCACGTGCTGGGAGAGAACCTTGGGGAGAAGAAGGAAGTGGATCTGAGCAGAAGCCTTAAATCTGGGAACTGTGGTTGGAGTGACTTGAACAAGGAGAACCAGCAGTGCCCTTTTGTGGAGAACTAGCATTTCTTTTTTTCAGGATGTTGCTAAAATTTGCTCCTGTGTTTTGAGAATTTTCTAGAGGGAAGAAATCCTACAATAGACTGAAACCCCAAAGCAGTGGTCACATTTCTCACCTATCCCTGCTGGGGAAAGATTTCTCCCTCCTCTTCCCAGTTTGTCATGTGTAATGTACAGCACAGTCTTTGTCTCTTACTGTATATCAGCTGTGTTGGTTTTTCCATAGAGTTTTTATCTCTAGTAAATAAATTTGTGTTCAACCTTTGCTGACTGTATGTCCTGATGTTGTGCTTGCTCAGCACAATATTTTCTCTGGGACAAGGGCTCAGGAGCAAATAGTCCAGCCTTCCATAGCCTTAAAACTGCCTTGTCCCCTGCCTGGGGCATGCTGAAGGGTATGGCCTTGAATCCATGTACAACAGCGTGAGCTGGGAAGCTGCAGCTCCCTGCAGGAAACCATTGTCTATCCAGTGTCACCTCTGGGGCTGTACTGCTCCTACACCGGCCTCAAACCGAGTTCGGCAAGGGTCTGTGTAAGGGTGAGATCCAAAATAGTGTGAGATAGTATTGTCCATTGATATTTACCTTCTATTGGTAAGTTACTGAACCTTGTTGAACTCCAGCTCTCCCAGCAGAGCCTGGGCCCCCCCAGGATGTTGCTCTGAGCCAGCAAGTGGAATAGGGGCTGAAAAAACTGGTTGTGTAACTGAGCTAAAATACCCAAGCTTTGAAAGGATGCACTTGCATCTCACAATCCCAACTCCAGCCTCTTCTCACCTACAGCATGTGAGGAACACCCTCCCCTGGGGATGTGAGCTGAAGCAAGGGCTGTGGATGAGGTGTTGACTGGTTGAAGACCAGCAGGCAATAGTCACAGGAAAGGAGTTCTGTTTGCAGTAGCTCATTGCAATGCTGGAAAGAACACAGCCTGCAGTGCTTCTGTGAGCTTTCTTTATTTGCCTGGGCTATGAAGATCTAAACAGACTTGAAAACATGGGCTGATGGCTACTGGTTAGACAGGGTCACCACACAATGCAGGAGTGAGGCAAAGAGGGAAGGAACAGCAAGAAGCAGACAACAAATAAGAATAAATATAATATTCCCTGATATTCTGGCAGGTCTTGAGGGCTACCTTTCTGCCATTTATGCATAGATAAGACTTGAACTAGGAAAAGAATAAATATATTCCCTGCTATTCTGGCAGGTCTGAAGGCTGCCTTTCCCCCTTTATGCATAGATAGGACTTGAGCTAAGTGTTCCCTGGTGAAAATGAGCCAAATTTACTCTAGCTTTATGTTTGAGGTGGTGCCATAGAAATCTCAAATCCAGTGTGTCTTGGGCTGTCTGCATGGATACAGGACAGCTGCACAGAGAAGTTAGGTAGAGTTAAAGCAGGGAGAGAGCTTAGTTTGGGGTGGGTGTTACATGAGGGGTCCTCAGGGGGAGGAGAGGAGGGGTACCAGTGTGGGCAGAGGTGTTTGAAGGAAGGTGCAGGGTGTCTGAATTGTACTGCAAAGTCCTGAGATGTAAAGAACAGGTCTTCAAGCCTGCACAAGGCTGGAAACCGCTGGGGTTGTTTAGAGATGGAGAGAAGGGCCAGTGCCTGTGCTCCTGCTCCCCAGCTCCCCCTGCTTCTCCTCCCTGATCTCCTTTCACTCTGAGAGACTCCTACAAGTGACCTGTGTCTAGAGACAAGTGGGAGTGGTAGGTAGGCATTTCTGTTGTGCTCAGCTGCTGATGCTGTGTCGCATGGGCTCGGGCTGTGGGCCGTGCTTCCGCTGCTCCTCCCCTCCCTGCTGCCGTCCTCAGTTCCAGATCTTGAGGAAACTGTCCCAGGAGCCAGTGGCAACAGCCATGCCATCCGCCGTCACCCCCAGGCAGCTCACTCTGTTGTCGTGCCCAGAAAGGATTCCTGTGGATGGAAGGAAGAGGTCAGGCAGTGAAGGGGGGCTCTGTGAGAGGTGACAAGATGGCCTTGCTGAGGGGACACGTGGCACAGGCTGTGCCCACGTGCTGTGTGCAGCCCTGTCTGCTCCTGCAAAACCTCTTGCAGTCAGTACGTGGAGAATAGGAGCAAATGTGCCAAAGAACTTTCGTGTGTGGTGTACAACCAGCACCCAAGGGGTTCTTGAGAAGGGAAAGCCAGCTGAACCTCATAGAACTGCTTTCACCCTGGCCAGCTGAAATTCATAGAACTGCTTTCACCCTGGAGTGACAGTAAGACTAAGATAGGATGGGGTCCTTGGTAAGGCTGAGAAACCGCAATGCTGTTGGTGGGCTGCGTTTCATGACTTTTCAGAAGGTAAGGGCCACATCTGAAAGAAAAGTGCTGTGATCTGTGTATGAGCATCACAGAGTACTCAAAGATGTTGGATGGAAGCCCAGGTGCACACTTGGCTTGGTGCCTGGCCACCAAGTGGCACTGTGAGTACCTGGAACTGGCAGACTAGGAGGAAGTAGGATATTCTATGGCAGTTTTAGCTAATGGGAACCTTCTTGTCCCCCTTGATCAACATTGTTTAAAGGCTTGACTTCCTTAACAATTAAAACCAATATCTCTTCTAGGCCAGTGAGAGTTGCTGGCCTAGTTCTGGTGTGCTCCCTAAGCACAAGGGAGCTTTGCTGGGTTTCAGTCACTATAGGATGTCTTCCTATGTTCAGGAAAAATAAATGCCTCATTATCCCTGAGGCAGGGAGGGGAGGAGGGACCTCGAGGAGGCACTGACCCACACGCTCTGCTTTCAGGGAGTCCCAGATGTTGCAGTTGAAGTCGTCGTAGCCGGCGAAGAGGAGGCGGCCGCTGCGGGAGAGCGCGATGGAGGTGATGCCGCAGATGATGGTCTCGTGGGAGTACATGATCAGCTCCTGGTCTGCCCGCAGGTCGAACAGGCGGCACGTGGCGTCGTCGGAGCCCGTGCAGATGGCCTCGCCGTTGGGGAAGAACTGGGGAGGGCACACACCGTGTTTGAGTGAGGCTCTCCTCAGATCCCAGTGGAATTCCTCAGCTCATCACCCCCCCTGCTAAGCACGGGGAAGCCACGGAGGCAGGAAAACCTGGTGGGACCAGACACTGGATCATGAAATTTGAGTCTGCTGAAGGGGGAGACTGATACTTCTCTTAAGGCCTAATAAACCCCTTCCACTCCAAGAAAACAAATGGCCTAACCTGTTGCAAGATATCTCAGTGCTTGAGGAAGGATTATTTTAACTGCAGCTGTTAGGTTGGGCCTTGACAAGTGTTCACCCATTATCCCCCAGCTGAGGTCTGACATAATTCTGGCTACCAGAGCCTTCCTCTGTCTGATCCTCATACCGCAGCTTTCTCATAAATGCTCATTTTCTGTGGTCTTGCTCGGAGGAGTAAATAAAGGGCTCCTCAGGAGCAGGTATGGCAGAAAACCATGTGGCTGGCAAGGTAGCCATGGAAAAGGTTTCACTAACTGAGGTCAGTGGGAGGATGGTTTGAGCAGCAGACTGCAGGAAGCTGGCATTTGCTTAGCTACAAGGAATAGTCTGCCACGTGTCTTGTCCTGCCATCTCTGCAGCTCTGAGGGAGGTGCTTCCTCCCAAATGTCTGAGCTGCCTCCCATCAAAATTCGATCTTCAGAAGATCTCCCTGTGATCCCACCTCTTCTGTCTGGAGCTGACCTCAGCTGAGTTGGGTATTCCTGCTGCCTCACTTGCATCCTGTGCCAGGGCTGCTGGAGTGTGCTTGAAGCACAGCTGCCAACAGCTGTTGAAGCAAAGCTGGACCAGCCCCTGTGTCAGGGTGCTCAGCTCCACAGACCACGGTGTGCTGCCTGGGGAGAACCTCCCTCCAAACTTCAGTGAACTTGGGCACTCCCTGCCTCAGGCTGGATCACGGGGCCAAGGTCTAAGACCCGTTACCCTGCTGACTGTGACAGCTTCTTTCAACCTTGTCCCAAGGCTGTTTGGGAGCTGTTCCACCCCCATTCTCCTCCCCAGCCCTGTGCAGAGGGTACGTACGGAGATGGCATTGATGTCGGACTCGTGCCCGGAGAAGGTCTGGCGGCAGGAGCCCTCCCGCACGTCCCACAGTTTGGCAGTAGCATCACAAGCCCCCGAGATGAAGAGTTTGAAGTCAGGGGAGACAGCCAAGCTCATGCAGTCTCCAGTGTGACCAATGAACACAGTCTTCTGCTGCCCCGTCTCGATGTCCCAGAGCGCGCTGCAGGAGGGGACAGGAGAGGAGAAGGGCTCTCAGAGCCAGCCCAGGCAGAGCAGACCCACAGCCAGGCTGAGGAGTGTCCCACTCACAAACAGAAGGGGGGAAGCCGTGGCTACTGCACAGGAAAATGGGTGAGAGCATCCCTGGATCCGCTGTACACAACAGGAGATATCTTCACAGCTGTTGTTGGCAGTACCTTTGCCAAAACAGAGTTAGACTAAGGCTGGGGGTGTGTGAAGTTTGGCATATAAGTGTGACAGCTGAAGGGAATACTGAGAGACGGTAAGAGGGACACAAACAACAAAAAATAGCAAACAGCTGAGAAAAGTCTTCTGTGTCCATGTTCATAAGGTGCAAAGCTCTTGTTCAGTGGGATCCCACAGCACAGCCAGGCAATCAAACCCCATGTAACCCTGATCTCTGATGGAAATGCCACATTTCCTTGGCCAAAAGGTTCATCCAAAGCAGGTATTGGGATGGGTGGGGTAAATAAAGAGTCAGGACTGTTCAGAGTCACAGCACAGTGAGCCCTGAGAACTAGGAACCAAAGGATCAAGGCAGTGCCTCTGCAGTGTCCCTTGCACAGAGGGCAGGACTTGACAAGTGAGAACGTGTGCGTGCTCCACAAAAAATTTAAAACTCTTTCTGTCCTGGTATAAATGACACTGTTCTTTGTGAGAACTTTTGACATGGTCCCTACTGCTTGACCTGGCCTCAGCTGAGGAAAGAAGCACCTGCTCTGCCAAGGGAGGAAGAATGGATGGGGCTTCCTAAGATGCTCCATGTGGCCTCCCCATTGTAGGAGCAGTTCCTCCTTAGATAGTGGAGGGCTGAAGACCACAAGGACTGCACTTGCTGCTGTGCTAAGAGCCAAGAACATGGCACCAGGATGCAGGAGGGAGCACTCACCATGTGGTATCTCCAGAGCTAGTCACAATGTTGTTGTCATCAAGAAATCGGCAGCAGGAGAGGTATCCTGGGAAGGGGAGTAAGCAAACATGAGAAAAGGGGCAGGGACAGAAGGGTGAAGTTTGGAAGCAGGGGGCACCCAGTGGCAGGCAGGGAGTGCGCACACCTGTGTGGGCTGAGAGCTCCCTGCTCACTTTGACGCTGCCTTCACGGGACTTGAGGCTGTAGATGGAGCACATGTTGTCAAGGCCTCCACAGGCCACAAAGTTGCCAGAGGGGGCATAGGCACAGGTCATGACCCAGGAGGAGCGCAAAGGGATGGCATGGACCTGGGGGACCAGAAACCATGTCAGGGCTCTTGGCAGCAGAGACAGCAGGTCAAGGACACCATCTCCAAGAGGAACCACTCCAGCATCCCGGTTTGCAGCCACCTGGCTCCTACCTTGTTAGTTGTGTATGTGTCCCACACAATCAGTTTCCCATCTTGTGAGGCACTGACCATAAGTCTGTGAGAAAGGAACAAGGTCAGGTTAGTGGCCTTCTTCCCATCAGAGCCTTCCTGCCCCTCACACCCATGTGCTGTCCTGCAGGCAGCAGGCCAGCAGCAGCTCTCACTTGGAGTCTGTGGACCAGTGCAAGGCGTAGATCTTGGCCAGGTGTCCCCGCAGGGTCCTTCGGGTCCGCATCTGGATGCGTCCAACGACCTCCATTCCAGACACAATCTAGAGAAAGAGTGGTGGGAGAGAAAGAATTTATCTTGGACTACCAGTACTGCTTTCCGCACCTCTGCCTCCTAACTCCTTCCTGACTGGGCACCAGCCCCTCAGAGCGGTGCTAGCTTGCCCCAGACCGCCTTGTCCCTTACCTGAGCAAGTGTTGTGTCTGCACAGGCTTTCCGGGCATCCTGGAGAAGAGACAACAGCAGATGAGACAGATTGAAAACATGCAGGAAAGGTGATGACAAGTGAAATTTGGGGTCATTTTCTGAGGGCTACTAGAAGTAGGAACTGTGGTTTTGCTGTGTTTGGATTGTGGCCAGCAATCTTTGTCTGCGATTAAGACACCTTGACACCAGTCAGTTGTCAGGGACGTGAGCCAAAATTTGCTCAACATCCTGTTTGCTGTGCTACACCCTTTCCATAGACCCTCCCACCTGACAGGTCTGAGAGACAGAGGAGATCCTGGGGATTCATGACACTTATGGGACCCCTGTCACTGTTCTTCTCCCTTTCCCCCACCATGGTGGGAAGATCTCCATTAGCATTTAAAGCACTGTGGAGAGCTGCAGAGGGCTTCAAGAATGTAGATGGAGAAAGTCCAGCTGCAGCTTGTGGCTGAGGAGGAAAGTTTGGGCATGCATTGTGGGGTAGGCGCGCTCTCAGCAGCTCCATGGCTGTTGCCAGCATTACCGCAATCTGCTTCTTCAGCTGCTCAGCCTCCTGCTTCATCTGCTCCATTTCCCCCATCTTTCTGACCTAGGGGTGGCTCCTCCACGTGGGGCAGCCTGGACTCTGGGGAGACAGATCAAAGGAGAGAGGTGTGAGTTAGATAGGACACCAGTGTGACTGCTCAGTTACAGAAATGTAGGTATTCTGACAAAGGATTGGTGACCATTTCTTGGCTGAATACTCGGTAATGTTGTGCTGTATCTGGCCACAACCCTTAGCACTTGGGAAGATTGTGCTGGGCCTGGCCAAAGGTCCACTTTGTCTTGGATCCTGCTTACACATACACACACAGAAGCTAAAGAACTCCAGAGCCTCTTGCTGATGTTCTGGCCACACTTGTCCACCACTGGGTCCTCTTTATCAGCTTCTCCTGTTCATAGCCAAGCTGTCCATCTCAGCTCCAGGAGGAAGAAACTTGATGGGGGAGCCCATTGGCTATTTCCCACTGTTTGTCCTAAGCAAAGCCTCACCAGGCAGGACCAACCAACTCTCTGACCACCAAGGAAATCTACAGGGCTGTTGAAGTTCTCTCTCTGAGTTCCCTTCTAGTTTCACATCAAAAACCAAACCAAAACAAACAAAAAACCAAACCACAATAAAACAAAAAGAAAGGCTGATGCCTGGGAAAGAATCTAAGAATAGCATAAGCCGATAGGGGTACATCTCCTACTTGCCCAGCCCCAGCTTTTCACTGACGTCCAAAGCTAGAGCAGCATTACTGTATGCAAGTCCTTGATGTTCTTTTCTTCTGTGCATTTGTCCACACCATTTTTGTGCCCATGCCAAGTTCAGTCTCCTCAGTGCCCCACGGTGATGACTTCCACAGCTGGGTGGCAGGCTCTGCAAAGAAGTTCCTGCTTCCATCACTTCCCGGTGGCACTGGTTCCACTTGATAGTAGCTGTAGTTTGAGTTGGAAGAATCAGCAAATAACTGGTTTCTATTCACTTCTGCATCACTCGGTATTTCATACATCTTTGTCATACCCGTCCCTTTTCCAGACTGCAGAGCAAATTTAGTCATTCCTCTCCTGTAAGCTGTTACATCCTATTATCTCTGCTGTTCTGTGAGCTTTGTTTCATTTGTTTACGGAGCAGAGATGATACGTTTTTGCAGGGAGAGCAGGGAGCCAGAATTGTAATCCATATTCAAGATGCAGGTGCACTGTATCAATATACAACCTCTCTGTTTTGTTCTCTTTCTTGTTATGTGCATTCAAATCTTCACCAGTGATTCTAGCATCTCCCACTTTTGTAGACAAACTTGATCTTTAATTGCTCCAACATTTCACCTGGATAGATGTGAGTGTCCAGATGTGCTCCAGGTGTTGCCCAAGAAATGTTCCAGCAGCATCTGCAAATTTCTCCCAGTTCCTGTGGGTCACATCACTTCCATCCCTGTTGCCTGAAGGCTTAATTTCCTCTGGTCAGTGAGGCTTTGGGTCCTTCCATGCCACACTTTCTCTCTTGCTGTGGGCAAGCACATCAGACAGCTTCCAAGTCCCACCTTTGCTGGCTGCTTGGTACAGCACTTTGAGTTTTCTTGAAGAATGCCTTCCCTTGAGTGTCTCCACAGCTTTCCTTTGATCCCCCAGGCACAGTGAGTATTTGCTTGTTCAACGATTCCTGAGGCATGGCTTTGAGTGCAGGAAAGAGAACGAGACACAGGTTTCCCCTGGCTCCTGGGAGGCTATCCCAGCAGGAAGCTATTTCAGGATATACTTTGCAGAGAGAGACTTGTGCCTGCTGCCTGCAAGGCTGGATAGAGGCACAGCACTGCTCCCTGCTCACTGCTCACTGCCCATGCCCAGGATGGGGCTGCCAGCCCCAGGAAACGGGGAGGGAGCAGGAGGGCAGCCCTGCCAGGGCCCAGAGGAATGTGCCACAGCCCCACTGGCCTGGGGCTGCCAGCCTCAGCTCCTTCAGCTACCCTGAAGGACAGAGACAGACCAGCACCTCAGCTGGGCCCATTCCACTGGCTTCTCTTCTCTCATTCCAACAGAGCAGCGATGAGGGCACTTCCCCTCCTTTGGGAAAGGGCTGGCATTCCACTCCACCTCCCAGCTGTCTGACAGAGCAGGGAGATGCTGGGGAAGGCCTTGCAGCTTTCAGTCAGAGGCTGCACGTCCTCCTTTTGCTGGGTGTTTGCCCCTCATTTTCAGCGTACAGTCAGGCTGCAAGGCTCCATCCTGCTCTGGTCACAGTCTATGGCACACCAAGTGGAACATCTGAACTTCCAGCCACCCTGTGCAGCCAGCCCTACCATTGTGGCCCACACTTTGCCCTTCCCCAGTGTTCCTTAGGACTGATCCATTGATCCTAAGCACTGGATTGTCGTTTCCTGCTAAGTAACCTCCTCCCTCTGACTCTCTCCTTCCAGCCTCCTTTGCTTGGTTCCCAAGTTCTTCAGACTGTTATTTCATACACCTTTGGCTCTCTGAGATTACTCTCCATCCACCTGCCCTAATTTTTATTTGTAGACTTCTGATTTTTCCCACCCAGACCTACATAGAGATGGGAACCTTGTTCTCCCTTCCCTCCAATTTATGCTCCCGGTGAAGCTGGCTGTACACATCCTCATTACCTGTCGGATCCCTGTCTTCCTTTCACTGCTCCTGCTTTTTCACTACTCTCTTCCCTTCTCTGGTTGTTTCTCAACTCTGGCACTAGCAAGGGAATGCCAGTTCACTGCTCTGTAAAGCTGCATGACCAGCTGAGGGGCTTTCGGAGCCATAGGCAGATCAAACAGCAGGGGCAGGATGTTGAGGACGGATAAAAAGGGCTAAATATAGAGAAGGTGCAGCTCAGGACTGTGTCCGAACCTTTAAATCCCTCTGAGGGAACACTCTAAATGAAGTTGGGAATTGTTCTCAGCCTCAGAAGGACAAGGAGCCACAGATGAGTGATAATAATAGCTCCATCTTTGCCTGTCGCCTCCATCCGTCACGTCCCAGTGCAATTTGTGGAGAGTGAGGTGTCCCCAGCGTAGTGCAGCTGCCTCCCAGGAGGAGCAGGGCAGGTGTGCAAAAGAGCAGCTCGTTATGGTCATGTAAATTTAGGGCAGGAAATGGGAGGAACAAAATGGGAGAAGAACAGAGGAAAGGGAAATGGAGTTTGGCCAAGGCATGTTCCTGCCTTGACCAGCAGGACCTTAGGGATACACATTCCTAGTGGATCTAAGGATTAGCTCACAGTTGCTCATGGTGGTTGCCCAGGCTAGTTTTAATGGGAAAGGCTTTTAAATGGTGCACACTTGGTGCTTTCTGGAAGTAAGGGCTCTTTCAGGGGAATGCTAAGCAGAAGAGGAAACCGAGTCCTTAGGTACCTTTGAAAGAAACAATTCACCACTCTCAGCACAGCTACTGACAGGAAGACCTTGGCACCAGCACTGTTCCAGAGTTTTGCCTCCTGCAAGGACCACCAGGAGCAAGCAGGGCACGGCCAAACAGAGCTTGGGCTTGGCTGGTTCATGACAGCCCTGTTCTGAGCTCTGAGCTGTGCTTAGCCAGTTCACAGCTCTTGGCTTTGGAAACCACGTTTCATTTCTTCTGCTCTCCAACATGGCAGTTCTTCCCCCTCCTGCCTTTTCTAACAAATTTCTTGCTGCAGCACTCCTGTCTGTGGGCAACCAAACCCATCCTGAGTCCTTTGGGGCTCATAGCAGATCAAATGCCTCTGCTGTGGTGCAAGATGGAGGGGGACCTGGAATCATCCATCTTCTGCCTTTTGCTGCCACACCCTGACTTTTCAGAGCAGTGGCTACATCTCTTGCACGATGCCATGGAGGTGGCCCAGCTTGCTCCCTGGGGGCTGTCCCTCCAAGTCACCTGCATCACTCCCTGGTGGGGATAAGGGTGCAAGGAATGGGTGGGAAAAAGAGGCAAGGTGAACCCTCTTATTGTCTGCTCCTGGGTAGCCCCCCCACGCCTGAGGAAGGAGTGGTCACTTTGTGAAGTGTTGGGAGAGGGCTGTGGATAATGGAACAGGGAAAGGGGCAAGAAGAAGGACTCAGTGGGAACAGGCAGTGTCCCTGGGTCTCCGTGTAATCCCTGACCAGCTTCACAGGCTCGCCCTGGTGACCCCGGGCTCCTTGCAGAGCCGGATACAGAGATGATCCCTCTCTCCTGTGATGGAGATCAAAGGTCAGGGTAAAATTACCCTGCTCTGCTCCTTGCTTTCTGAGGCTCCTTCTCCAGCCAGAACAGCAGCCAGCTGCAAATAGGGGTGCACTGGGAGCGCAGGGCTGTGTTCAGGCAGTGAGTGCCAGGTCGATCAGGGGAGGTGTCACCCTCCCACTCCAGCCTGGAAACTGGTGAGATTTACCTGCCAAGAGGAGAACAAGCAACCCCATCCCAGTGCAAAACCCCTCCAGCACTGTAAAGACATCTCAGTGCTAACCCAACTCCTTTCCATGATCTTACCCTCCCTCATTCTCTGATGGGATGAGCCTTTGTTCAAAGACTCCCCACATCATCGCTCCAAGAAACTCAGGGTCCCAATGCCAGTTTCACCAAGGTGACCTCAGGCATTGCAAGGCAGCAAACTTACCAGGGTCTGTAGAGCAAGGTGGGTTGCAGTCCCCTCTGAATGGGACCTTCACAGCCTGCCTCCCTTGCTGAGAATGGCTCCTCACTGCCCAAAAGTCCCTCGTTCCTCTGCAGTCTCCAGGCAGTCCCGTTTGTCCACCCAGCAAGTCCCTCGCTCCCTCTCTGCTCCTCAGCCTCTCCCAGGACTGATCTCCCCATGGGGAGCTGGAAGGCTGTGCACGGGAGGGGTTGGGGGAGGGCTGATTCCAGGAGCAGCGTCAGGCAAATTAAATCAGACACCAGAGACTTGGGGAAATCGGATTGGGACGTAATGCAAAGCAGGTGGATGGGGAGGGGTGAAAAGAGAGAGTAGCACACTGCTCCTGAAGGGAAAGAAACAATCCCAGGCGGATTTGACTCCCTCTGTTTATATCAGCAACAAACTAATAAAGTGAAGATTAGCCAGAACAGCCTAGGATTATCAGCCACCAGGGC